TCTCTCTCATGACTCTCTCTAGACTTAATAAACTATTCATAAAACATTTTAATATATACACATATATAACTATTTTTTTTTTCAAAAATAAAAGTATTCTCACTTCATAAGAAGTTTAAAACAAAAATACATACATACATCTATAACAATTATTCAAAAAAGAAATTCTGTACAAAATATAAAACATTTTCTTCTTATCTTTCCTCTACACTCATTGCTAAAGTCTTTCCATCCGAAACATCTTTTACTCTTGTGAAACACACTTTCATCACAAATGAAATAACACGATGAACACATAGGATAATTTAGTATTTTTTTAACCTATTATTTTATTAAAACAACTTCAAACACTTTTCTTCCATATATTTAAATATTATTTTAGCTTTCATTTTGAAAATTTTGCCCTATCAAAAATATACTTCTCCAAAAATCTCATTCTGAAAGTCTCCCAATAGACCACTTCAACTCTTGCTTCCATCGTCTGTTTTGTTCCCATCCATCAAAACTTTGTTTTACTAGATAACAAATATGTGACAAACACCAAATTCTACTCGTGGAGACATGAGGTTTCCTTAGAGATCTTTTCTCTGAGCTACATGTTAGAAGTGGACTTTAAGCCTAACTCAACCTCACAAAACCGGTTTGTAGGGTGAGGTTTGCACCCACTTATAAATTATAAATTGGTCTTATCTCTAGTTGATGTGGAACTTCCAACACACCCTCCTCACTCCAAGGTATATACATCTCGAGCGTGGGATCAGACATTTTTAATGGGTGGTCCGATAGCGGCCCGATAGTGGGTTGAACAATATGCCCAGCAAACAACAAATTATCGCTAGGATAGGCTCTAACCATGGCTCTGATACTATGTTAGAAGTGGACTTTAAGCCTAACTCAACTCCACAAAACCGGCTTGTGGGGTGAGGTTTGCACCCACTTATAAACTATGAATTAGCCTTATCTCTAGTCGATGTCAGACCTCCAACACTACAAATTAGCTTGGTCAGGTTACATTGCCACTAAGCTTTGGTGGGTTGTGTTTCATAAACTCATTCAGTCTCATATACTCCTAAAACTAACTAGAAAAAGCAACCATTGTAGCATCCTAGGAATCTCCCACTACTGCATATACATTTGGTGGTTTTGAGCCATAATCAGATTTTGTTGTTGAATAACACTTACCACCATCTCAATAGCTTATCTTAGAGGAAGGTTAGGGTGGGGTAGGAGGTCTAGGATCTAAAAGCCATTTTAATATAACATAAAAGAAAGATTTTGAAATATCTCAAAATTCTAAGAGATTCAAAAAATTGCTAAACACACAACATGCACAATCAAAACATATAAACTTGCGACCTGGGTTATGATACCAAGTTTTTGGATCAAGTGCTTACCATCATGTCAAAATCTATAATTGATATCTAGAGTGAAATTCTTTCAACTTAAGAATTTAATAGCCAGACCACAAGGATTTGATTTTGACTTGTTCTACCTTGGCTTTTACCATGAGTAGTGTTGTCAAAATAGGTTAGAATTCGTGGGTCAACTCAGTTCATCACGGTTTTGAGCCGGGTTAAGTTTAAAAAAAATGATTTTTTTATACGGACCAATTTTCAACCCAACCTATTTAAAACTCGGCTCACTTGGGTTCAACCCATGGTGAGTCGGGTTGACTCATCAATGCACCTAGTTTAATTTAATTATTAATTATTTTATGTTTCAATATTATTTGTTAACATTTTTTTATTGTATTGTAAATGAGAATAAAGAAAAATATGTTTAAGAGAGAAAAATATTATAAATTTATCCATTCAAGACTCAAATGTTATAAATGGATAAGTGAAACAAAAATTATCAATATTATAAACTTATTTATTTGTTTTTTAAGTTTGTTTTTTGATTACATTTGAGTTGTATGTTACTTTTTTTTATTTTGAATTCTCTTTGGAGTTTAACATCATTTTATAGTGAAATTTATTTAAATTTGAATTACAAAAAAAAATTGTATTTTTTTATTTTAAAAAAATATAACTAAGTGAGCCAGTGAGCCAGTGATGTCAACCCATTTAACCCACCAACCCGTAGTGGACCGAGTTTGAATTTTTTGGCTCGCTAATAAATGAGTCGGATTGGATTTGGCTCACTAAGTAGCAAAATGGTAGGCTGGACCGGGTCGAGTTGAGTGACCCGTTTTGACAACACTAACCATGAGATAACTTATGTCATATGCAACATTAAAGATAATATCTTTTAATGTTGTACTTTATTTTGTTATTTTTGTTGATAATTTTTCAAGGAATTTATGGGTTTGATGACAAAAGACTAAGTAATGGAGAAGTTCAAACAACTTTTATGCTTGGGATTATCAATAGTGGGATCATACAGTTTATACCCTAGTAGAATGATATATAACCAAAATTAGAGGCACCCCTTTATCATCTAACTTTTTTCTTAACTAATCTGGAACATACTTATAACTCAGAGAATAAAAAATTTTCAAATGGGTAACACATGGTTTTACCTCAAACCATGCTTCCTCTGGTGTAATACCTTTCTGCCTTTTAGTTGGAGATCTGTTCAGGATATAAGTGGTTGTCAACACAACCTCAAATTTGGGAGACCCTTGCTTTTCAGCATACATCTGACCATATTTAAAATGGTTTTGTTCTTCCTCTCTGCAGTACCATTATGTTGTGGGGTATAAGGAGGGATAATCTCATGTTCTATACCCTCTTCTTCACAAAAATTTTTGAACTCCATGGAGGTATACTCTCCTTTTCCATCTGTCCTCATAATTTTAATCTTTTTCTCACTCTGCCTTTCCACCAAACTCTTGAATTTTGTGAGAATTTGCAGTTCCTCACTTTTTCTGGATAGCAAGTATGTCCAACATTTACTAGTTAAATCATCAATAAATAGAAAAAAATACCTGCTGCCTCTAAGTGTTTTAGTTTGAAACCATACCTAACTTCTTTGTTATCCTTTGAGGCAAGAATTTTTGAAAATTTCCCCTAGTTTGCTTGCATTGAGCACATTCTTTACATACTACTTCAGGAATTTTAACCATAGGCAAGCCTTTAACCATCTCTTGTTGACTAAGTTGATATAAATCTCTAAAGTTTAGATGTCCAAACCTCAAATGACATAGTCACTTTGTTTTGTTTTCAGAAACAGCAAAGCATTGATGTTTGACAACATTCATTACCACACGAAATGTCCCATTTTAAGACAAATGTGCTTGAATGATTAGTCTTTTATTTTGAGAAACAATAATGAGACAATTATCCTCTATTTTCATCACAAATCCCTTTTGGAGCAGTTGGCCTAGATTTAGTAGATTTGTTTTCTGCCCTAGTACATACAACACTTCATCAATCACAACTTCTCTTCCATCACTAACTCTCAAACCAACTCTACCAGATCCATCTGTTGTGAGACTCCTGTCATAAGAAAACTTAATCCTCCCTTGCATGGTTTTCTTCATTTTGACAAACCACTCCTTCTTCCTAGTCATATGTGTTGAGCATCCAGAATCCAAGTACCAAACTACATCATTTGACTGGTCTTCATTTGTGTTGGCCATTAACATTACAACCTCTGAATCTGAAGTGTCGTCTTGTGCAAGATGCACTCTTTCTTTCGGTTTGTTCTTTGCTCCATCCCCTTTCCAACATTCTTTGGGAAAATGGCCAAAATGTTTACAGTTATAGCACCTTACCTTCTTTTTATCAAACTTCCACTCCTTATCTTCATCAGATTTCTTCTTTTGGCCTTTTACAGGATCACTAGAATCTTCACTCTGCAATTCCTGTGATTCCTTGTGCTTGGTGCTATTTTTATCACCCTTCTTGAACCCTTTCTTACCTTTTTATTGAGATTGAGCTTGAAGCACTTGTTCTTGGCAGTGTCTTCTCTCATTAATAGGTTGTTCATGTTCCTCTAATGAATGCTGGAGTTCTTCAATCTCCAAGGTCTCCAAGTCACGTGTTTCTTCAATATCCACAACAACATGATCAAATCTTGGGGTTAGGGATCTCAAAATTTTATCCACCACATATTGATCTATAATTCCATCTTTACATGCCCTCATAGCATTAACCAGCTCCTGCACCTTGTCAAAATATTCTGCCACAAATTCACTTTCATCCATGGTGAGAATTTTAAACTATCTTCTCAATGTATGCAATCTCACTTTCTTGTTCTTGTCACCATCCCCATATGTCTTCACCATTATCTCCCAGATTTCTTTAGCAATGCCAGGCCTTTGAGATCTTGTTAAAGATCTTTGGACTGACACACACTGGTAAAGAAGAAATCATGCCTTACTGTCTAGTTTTTGTTGTATTTTCTGGTTTCTTTTATCTTCTTCAGTAGCCTTTGAACTCGACTCAAGCAGACCTTCATTTATCACATCTGCAACATCTTGGAAACCAAATATGGCTTGCATCTTGATGTGTCAGTCATCAAACAACTTGCCATCAAACGCTAGAAGTGGCCCCTGTATTCCTTCAAAGCCTGTCATATTCTTCTTGATTAAATCTTGAAGCTTCTTGGACCTCTTTATTGACCTCTAAGGATTTATCACTTCCAAAGAACACTTCTTTCTACAGTGTACCACACTCTTCCAGACTTATCACACCCACAGCTTCACAAAGATCTTTTGTAGTTAAGCTCTTGATACCATCTAAGGTTCCAAAAAAAAGAAAGAAAAGAGAAAAGCTCCAGGGGAAGAGGGAAATAGAGAAAACGAAGAGGAGAGAAAGATCAGACATAGAAAAAGCTCTCAACAAGGTACTCTGTAATGGTTCTATATACTGTGTATTACTTCTGAATGAAGTTTACATATTTATACATAGACTAGGCTCTTCTATTACTCGTTTTTGGTTTTGACCGCTCGGTCTCATTGTGACCGTTCGGTCGTGTGCTTTCGGTTTTGACTTTGGCTGTGTTGTTCGGCCTCTTCTGCTGATGACCGCTCGGTCTTTCTGTTATGTTTGTTTTAGTCGCTTGGATTGGCTATATATTGTAGCCTATCTTTGCGTTCTCAAATTAATTCAATCTCAAAGATTATTCAGACCATTTCTCTCTGTTTTTCTCTCTGTTTTTCTCTCTTGTGTTTTTTCTTCTCTGGGTTCTGGATTTTTTTCTGTTTCTCTGTTTCACGCGAACCCAACAGTTGGCGCCCACCGTGGGGCTGTGAATCAAGAAATTCCAGAAACAATGGCAACCAAGTTCGAAGTAGAGAAATTCAATGGATCAAATATTGCATGGAAAGAAGAGAAAGGCTATTGGTGTATGAATTTGTTCCCAATAAAAGCCTCGATTTCTTCATATTTGGCAAGTCAAAATTAAGGAACCGAACCAACTATTCTTCATTTATAAACATTCTAACTCATTGAGAATATCGTATCTTGGCTTTGGTTTGTAGATGAAGTTGGGGCGGGCACAATTGGATTGGGAAAAGCGACACAAAATCATAACAGGCATAACTAGAGGTCTTCTTTATCTTCACGAGGATTCACGTTTGACGATCATTCACTGTAATCTCAAAGCAAGTATCATTCTTTTAGATACCGAGATGCATCCAAAGATATCAGATTTTGGCATGGCAAGATTAGATTTTGGAGTTCAATGTTTCAAAAATTGTTATTAAAGTGTTAGACCAAACTAGAGACAAAATGTTTTGAGTTACCACAAAAAGATCGAACATCAGTAGATCGAACAAACAAAGAAAAAGAGAGCCAAAACCGGAGAGCCAAGATCGAACACAGTCTTACCTTGACGGTCAATGCGGGAGCGCATCAGAGCACCTCGAACTCGCTAAACCCACAAATGCCTCGACGCCTCCACCTCGATGCCTCAACCTCGACGTCTCCACCTCGACGCTCCACCTCGTAGAAGAAAACGAACACGAAGCCAAGCAAGAAGAGAAGACGAACACGAAGCCAAGCCAAAGAAGAAGCCAAGCAGGAGAAGATTGTGGTAGGGTAGGGTTTGGGGGAAATTTTGATGAAGACGGGGAGAAGGTTTTAGGGTTTGAAAGTATCTAAAACTAGAACAGATGTCACTAGAACGAATGACCGAAGGCGCAGGGAAGGGGATATGGGTTCGTAAGTATTATAAAATTTAAAAACAATTAGGGGCGGTTTGTGCATAAATCGCCGGGAATTATTCGGGGTTTCCAAAACCGCCGGAAAATAACCCCTCCTAAAATTAATTATTTTTGTAGTGATTAAACGAAGTTAGAATATTACATTATATAAAAAAAGTGTGAACATAATAACATACAAATATATTTGACATATTATGTGTTGTAAGTCTTATACCCCTCTCATATTTGAGTCATTATATTAGGATTTGAAGGATATAGAGAAAGTTGCACACGATACTCATATTGAGGACTATAATATACTAAATTATTAATAAATTAATTTACTAAATTATTTAATAAATTCCTATGATGCTACACAAGCTTTTATGAATAAATTATTTACTAAATTATTAATTGTATTTTAATTCAAACAATATAAAAGAATAAACAACAAAGATTTTTTTTAAAATTTTAAGAATGAATTATAGTTTATAAATTTTTTATTTCATTTTATTAGTATATTTTAAATTAATAACCAATAAAATAATTAATTCACACACATCATTATTTCCAAGACACGTGACTCTAAAGATCAAGATCTTGACCAAGTCCTTCACTACCATCATTATTTTTAGGAAAATGTTTTTTTAACAACTCTTTTTTAACAATTTTTTTACAACGCAGACGTGACGACTTAGGATTGGTTCATTTCAAATATTTTTCTGAAAACAAATTCAAGCAGACCAATAAAACAATGGCACGTGGCCCGTTATTAAAAAGTTGTTAAAATTTGTTGTTAAAATATCAGGATCCTTATTTTTAAGATATGTGATTCTAAAGATTAAAGTTGGACACTACACTCATGTTAATTTTTGTAATGCTTCATGCATCTTCTTTCTCCCTGAATTTGGACTCAGTAGATCAGACTAATTAATAGAAATTGGGAAAAAATAACATGAAAGATGGATAGAAAGAAATTAAAAGAATAGAACTTATTGAGGAGTAGAACAGAAATGGAAAATAGAATTCTCTTCAAGGAATTTCTCCTCCACAAAGGATTACTCCTTCTCCTTTTCACTTGAAAAAATTTACAAAAATAACTCTCGCCAAATCTAAGTCCTTATTTACAATCAAACTAACTAGCTAACTGGTCCAACTAATTAATATAGTAATGGATTACCAGCCTTCTTTATTCATTTCTCATTATGCATCCTAGCAACAACAAGGGGTGATAGTGTTTAGTGTCTACCACAACAACAAGAAACCAGATGGATAAACAAGCAGTTGAACCAAAAGAGGAACTCACAAGATGCTCCAAGGCCTCCTTAGCCCCTTCCTGGCCACAACTGCCTCTCTAGCACGGCGATCCGCATCGAAGCGCGTCGCAGCAGCAGCCTTGCTCATGGAGAGGGCCACGATCCGTGTAGTGGCAACGAGGAACTTGGAAGATTGGACATCTACTGCTCTAGTCTTGCGGTCGGGGGACTGAAGAAGGTGAAGTTGGCGTTGAGACAAATAGGACAAAAGAAAAGTGGCATGGACTCAACAACGGTGGTGGAGGGGAAGGCACAAGATTGGTTAGCGATGGAGGGGAAGCGGACACACATGAGGCGGTGGTGCAGAGTGAGGAGAGAGTTCGTGGAGATCGAACGTGGAGACCACAGCGCTGGGAACCGAATATAGACCTTGGGAATCGAATAAGCCTCTCTTCTGAAGAATGGGGAACCGAATACAAATAAATGGGAATCAAATACAGGTTCCCTTCTTCTTCTTTATACGGCTGGAACCGAATATGGATTTCTTGGAACCAAATACAGTTTCATATTCTTCATCTTCTTCAGCTTTAAACACGTGTGTTCTTTATCAATCACTTTTTTCTTATCTTCATATGGCCATCAACCTTATCTTCTTCATCTACCACCAACTCAGCAGCACAAAAAACAACAAATATTTGCCTAAAATCGATTATGTCAACACCCAATTTCGTCCGGGTGACTAAATAATATAGGTCTTTCTTTTTTATTGTATCTTATTTTATTTTATGTTTTTTTTTATGATTTTTATTCTGTTTTTATTATTATTTGATTTCGTTTTTTTTATTATTTCATTTGATTTTTTTATATGAGTATTTTTAAAAAAAGAAAGCGAAAAGAAATAAAAAGAAAAAAAGGAAGCGGGACACGCCAGGTACACTCACACCCAATTCTGAAAAAGAAAAAAAAGAGAAATTGTTCCTCCCTGAAGCACACTGACACACGCTCCCTTTCGGCTCTCCACCCCTGCTCCTCTGTCCCGTAACCACCCCCAACCACGTACCTTTTCACTCCCAACTCCATTACCTCCAGATCCAGGATTCACCTCTGACCATTTTTTCTCCATTGCCTTCAACACCCATCAGCTTCATCCGAGGCCTCCATAACCTTGGAGCTACACCTCCGTTCTTTTCACACAGCGTCTTCGTTATCACCCTTCATAATTCCTCACCAAACCAGGATTCACCTCACACACTCCTATCACATTCTTACATTTCACCTCTATAGCATCACGCGCATCACACCAATAACCCATATCCCCCACCTACCACGCACAACCTCAGATCACCTTCACCATTTTTATTCACTGAATTCATCATCCATCATTGACCGCACACACAACTCTCAATTCCTTTATTCACTCGCATAGCGCCTTCCTCATCATTAGTGCATCTTTCATTTTCCCTCCCATCTTCTTCAGCACAGTCAAAGCCAGAGAACCCATCATTTTCCCACCTTCCATTCACACATCAGGACCCTCACCCTCAACCTACAAAACCAAATCACATTATTTGCTCCGGTATTCACTCACTTACACTCGCATCATTCGCACACAGAATATAGAATATCGGAACAAAACGTCGCACACACCCAGAGTTAGTCAATGGTGGATTTGCCACAATCAATCTCAGCGAGTGGTGCGTCCTTTGGAGTTTCTTCTGTCTCAGCAGCAAAGGATCGAAGAATAGCGTCTGTGGAGCATTACGAGCCAGTCTAGAGGGGAGGAAGGTTGTGGTGTTGGGAGTAGCGAAAGCGAAGAAGGAGAAGACGTTGGAGAGCATATGGAGGATGCTAACGGAGGGGCGAGCAATGTCGTTAACTAGGCATTTGAAGAAGGCGGAGACGTGGGAGACGCAGGGGACGCCGTTGAGGGATTTGAACGGTGGACCTGTGATGCAGAAATCAGAGACGTTTGTTGGGAGGGAGAAAAAACGCGTCGACGGGGCTGAGGAAAGAGCCATCGCTGAATCGGGAATAATTGAACCGCCTCGCTTGGGTCCGCTGCTAGTTTCCTCTCAAGTCAGATCTTATACCTTCTTCTACCGTTCCCGGCATAAATGAGGGTAATCCCCTTCCGTTCTCAGGTAAGTCTGATTTTCCCCTTTTCCTTGCCATCTATTCATGTTTTACGTCCTTTATCTTTATGAATTTGTCTCTCTCGTGTTCATTGTTTACAGTTCTGTTTGATAATGGTTTAAATCTGGTGTTCTGCAATTGACGTTTATGGGGGAATGTGATTTTAATTAATACTTTTCTTTTTTATATGAGATCTGTGAGTTTTTGTATGAGATGGAATGAAGCCTATCTAGAAGTTGGTGGTGAGACACGTTTCAATGGGAGGAAAGATATTTTTGGTTGTTAAAGTAAATTCAAGGGATTCGTTCATTGATTTTGTAACTTGATTCGTTTTATGAATTGTACTGGTTAGATTAAGTATAATTTTGTGCTTTATTCGTTGTTTTCTTTTCTTGTTTTCTCTTGTTCACTGGTGGCATGTTCGTGATTATTTAAACGTGAATTTTCTCTGTCTGTGTCGATTTCATGGATGGATGGGTTCGTGCATTTTCTAAGTTTATTTTTGTGGTTACTGAGTTTATGTTTGATGGGATATTCTCTACTTTTGTGTTGATGGATGGGATCCCTGCAACATTCAATTTAATAAAACTTATTTTCATCTAAAAAAAACAAGTCATAAAAATGGTAAAAATAAATAAAAAAGGGGTAATAAAGGAAGAATTTGGTTCTTCTGTGGTTTATGTTTTGATAAATATGTGAGGATGGGACGTGCGCTTCTTATTCCAATGTGATGGCAGCACCCAATCTCATAACATGGATCTCCTTACGTTTACAAAAATTAATAATAAAAATCATAAAATTATAAAAAAATAAAAAAGAGGTTTTTTTTAACTACTTTGTATTATCTTAATAATTATTCTAGTTTTAATTTCTTTTCCATTTCAGGCTTTTTCATTTGCGTAAATATTATTATTACTTTATTGTTTTATTTTAATTAATTAGGTAAATATCGTTATTATATTAAACCCTTATGTAAATATAACTATTATTCTTATAATTTTATATAGCAAAAATTACGAAAAGAAAACGAAGAGCAAAAATAAAAAAAGCTGAATGGAAAAATTAAAAATTTAAATAATGGTATGAGTGCTCTTGCGATCGTCCGCATCAGTCTAACATTCAATACCCTCAGATTTCTTAAATAAGTAAATATTCGGTTAAGCACACGTGTGATCGTTCGCATCGTCCTTGTGCTAAAAACATTTTCTCTTTCTTAAACAAAAAATTACAAAAAATATTTTTTAAAGGTTAAGCACATGTGTGATCGCACGCATCGTCCTTGTGCTAAAAACCTTTTATGTTTATTTTATAAAAATACCAAAAAAATAATATTTTAAAGGTTAAGCACATGTGTGATCGCACGCATCGTCCTTGTGCTAAAAACCTTTTATGTTTATTTTATAAAAATACCAAAAAATAATATTTTAAAGGTTAAGCACATGTGTGATCGCACGCATCGTCCTTGTGTTAAAAACCTTTTCTGTTTATTTTATAAAAATACCCAAAAATAATATTTTAAAGGTT